CCCAAGTTCAATCCCCGGTAACAAAAAAAAAAAAAAAAAAGAGGAAGAAGTTAGATTACCATCATTTACAGATGATATGATACTCTACATAGAAGACCCAAAAAACTCCACTAGAAGACTTCTAGATTTAATAACCAAATTCAGTAGAATAGCTGGATATAAAGTCAACACTCAAAAATCAATAGCCTTCCTTTACACAAATAACAAGCTCACTGAGAGAAAAATTAGGGAAATCACACCTTTCACAACAGCATCCAAAAAAATGAAATACCTAGGAATCAATCAAATGAAGGAAGCAAAAGAATTGTAGAGTGAAAACTACAGTACTCTGAAAAAGGAGATTGAAGAAGATATCAAAAAATGGAAAGATATCATTTGTTCTAGGCTATGAAGAACCAATATAGTGCAAATGGCCATACTTCCAAAATTGTTATACAGATTTAATGCAATCCTGATCAAAATACCAATAGCATATCTCACAAAACTAGAGAAAACAACCCTAAAATTTATTTGGAACCAGAGAAGACCTAGAATAGCAAAAGCTATTCTGGGCAATGAAGGCAAGGCAGGGGGCATCACAATTCCAGACTTGAAATTATATTACAAAGCTACTGTGATAAAAACAGCATGGTACTGGCAAAAAACAGACCTATGGATCAGTGGAACAGATTAGAAGATGAGGAAACAACTCCAATCATACTCAGCCACCTTATCTTTGATAAAGGAGCCAAATACCATCACTGGAAGAAATACTGCCTCTTTAATAAATGGTGTTGGAAAAACTGGCTTTCCATATGTGAAGATTAAAACGAGACCCATGTCTCTCACCATACCCTAAACTCAAATCAAAATGGATCAAACATCTAAATATTAAAAAAGAAACATTAAATTTTCTGGAAGAGAGAATAAGAAGAACTCTTGAAGACATGGGTATAGGCAAAGACTTTATAAACAAAATGCCCATCAAACAGGAACTATCACAAAGAATTAACTACTGGGATCTCATCTTTTTTTTTTTGTAGTATCGGGGATCAAACTTAGGACCTTGCACTTGTGAGGTAGGTACGGTGCCACTGAACTAAATCCCTGGACCTGGGATCTCATCTTATTAAAAAGCTTTTGCACAGGAAAAGAAACCATCAATAGAATGAGGCCACAACCCACAGTGTGTGACAAAATCTTTGCCAGCTGTTCCTCAGGCAAAGGACTAATATCTAGAACATATAAAGAACTAAAAAAAAAAATCAGACCCCCCACCCAAGTTTAAAGACCTAATCCAAAAATGGGCATCTGAAATGAACAGACACTTCTCAGATAAAGATGTAGAAATGAGGGGCCAGGGATTTAGCTCAGTGGTTCCGGCACCTGCCTCACAAGCCCAAGGACCCAAGTTTGATCCCCGGTACCAAAAAAAAAAAAAGATGTAGAAATGGCAAATAAATATATGAAAAAATATTCAGTATCACTGGTCATTTGAGAGATGCAAATTAAAACAACACTGAGATTTCATCTTAATCCAGAAAGAATGGTTATTATCAAGAACTCAACCAATAACAAGTGCTGGTGGAACTCTGGGAGAAAAGGAACCCTTCTCCAGTCTTGGTAGGAATGTAGACTGGTGCAACCACTGTGGAAATCAGTGTGGAGATTCCTCAAAAAGCTAAAACTAAAGCCAGCCATGGTGGTGTATGCCTATAATCCCAGCACTTGGGAGGCTGAGACAGGAAGATTGCCATAAGTTCGAGACCAGCCTGCATTATATAGTGAGTTTAAGGCCCCCCTGAACTACAGAGTGAGACCTATCTTTAAAACAAAAACAAACAAAAAAATCCCATTAAAACTGGAGGTTCCATTTGACCCAGCTATTCCCCTTCTTAGTATCTTCCTGAAAGAATGAAAAGCATCATACCACAGTGATATATGCACACCCATGTTTATAGTGGCACAATGTGTAATAGCTAAATCTTGGAACCAGCCCAAATGCCCATCAACTAACAAATGGATAAAGATGTGGGAATTTTTTATACAATGGAGTTCTACTCTGCTATAAAAAAGGCTGAGTTTAAGACATTTCTAGCTAAATGGATGCACCTTAAGATCATACTCTTAAGTGAGATGATATTTAAATACCTCATTGTTTCTCTGGTGTGAGAAACTGAAAGTGTAAATAAGGACCAAAATATATAATAGATATTGGAAAATGGGTAGAAAATGTTCAAATGAGAAGGGGAACAAGGAAGGTGGAGGGAGAAAGGAAGGAAGGGACAAGGCATAAATGGAAACAAAGTTTTGTAAATAAGGAGGTGAAGAGGGGTTAAGGGGGGGGGCGGGGAAAGAAGCAGCGAGCTGTGTCACATACAGGCACAGATTCCCTATGATGAATGTTAGCGTCATGGATATCTAGAATGGACCAATAAAAGTTTTGCTTCCAAAAAAAGAAAAAAGAAAAAAAGACTACCCTGAACTACACAGCAGGACCATGTCTCAAAAAAAAAAACAAAAAGAAAAATATAATAAAAATAAATAAACACATACATAAATAAACAGAGCTCAGAGCTGACATCCCCAGGGGAAAGTATCCTGGAAGCCTCAGGCAGAGAAGGGGCACAGGTCCCCACTGCTCTGTGTGGAGCCGGCCAGGTACAGGGAGGGTTCAAGGTATCAGAGGTGCATAGTGAACAAAAGACCCTGCACCCCAACACAAGCAGGCAAGCTAACACACACGCTTACTGATGGGAGATTAGAGTCATTATGCTGGTAGACAGGAATTTACTATTTCTATCAACAGTTTTTCTTTTTTTGGTACTGGGGATCGAACTTGTACTTGTGAGGCAGGCGGCGGAACTGCTGAGCTAAATCCCCAGCCCGTCTATTAACATTTTTTAAAAATTGCATATACCCCATTCTGCAGCTCTCTATTTCTAGGAATCTGTTCTATGAGATGTGATTTAAAAATATGGTGAATATAATTAAATTTTAAAAATGTATTACAGTAAAAGATATATTGCCTCTAATCCCCCTCAAAATTCTCTCCCTCACTTTGAACACACTTACCCTGTTGTTCTTGCCACTTTGTGAAGCAGTTCTGGAGTCCTCTCTCTTAAGGGTCTTTAGCTGCACTGTCATGGTTGCCTCTATATCCTGAATTGATACAGAACTTACCTCTCATGGTCATTTTGACTTTGAGGAATAGCCAGAAGTTGCACAGTGCCAGATCTGGTGAATAGGTGGATGAAGACATACTGTCATGTTTTCACAAGCCTGCCTTTCAGTTGGATGGCACATAGCAGCAGCATTCACCATATTTTTGATCATACCTCGTAATGACATTCATGAAAGAGAACTTCCAGAACTGCTTCACAAAGTGGCAAAAATGATGGGATAAACCTGCTTGAAGCAAGGGCAAATACTTTGAGGGGAATTAATGGCAATGCATCTTTTACTGTAATAAACATTTTTTAAATGTAAACATTCACCATATATTTTGATCACCCCTTGTACATACATATAGTATTTTGAGTATTTAAAAATGTGTGCCTGTTTCCTTTCATGGTATGTTTTATAAAAGAAGTTCACTGCATCAATCTGTAACTGTAAGACAAGAAACAAGCTAAATACTCATCAACAGGGGAATGGTTGCAAAAAATCTGATAGTCATTCTCTACAACTGCTAAAGATTAAGGCAGTTTGATGCATACTTAGCTAAGAATATTACCGTGGTGTAAAGCAAAGTGCATGTAGGGAGGAGTTAGCAAACACAAACCTTCACCTCTTGAAGGTGAGAAAGGGAGGAATTTCTCTTATGCATACAAATGTATGTGTTTGAGCCCTAACGATGTCTGGTTTTCATTTTGGGGTTTGTGATTTTTTTTAAGCATTTCTCAAAAATGCCTATAAATAAACGATACCCAAAGCTATTAGACATGTTTCCAATGTAGAGACGGTGACTCTAATCCTTTGACGCCATGACCAGCCCCTGAGCCCAGCTGAGGTGTCCCGCGGACAGCGACTGGCTGGGGTCCGGCCACCCCTGCGGCCGAAGCTCCAACCCCACGCAGCCTCTGTGCTGGCCAGGCCTCCCGCCAGCCCAGAGCTGTGTCTCTGGAAGGGTCTGCTCCCCGTCCCAGACGGCATCCTCCGGGCGGCCCTTCCTTGTTTGTTTTCCCTTTTTCTTTTCTTCGCCATCGCCATTGGAGTGGAAAGACAGAGCAGAATTACGGTGTGGCCCAAGGCAGGGGAAGGGGCGGCTGGGAGGGGCCCTTGGGACTCACGCTCAAGCAGTTCTTAGGGCAGGGCAGGCTCTGCAGAACTAGATCTGGTTTTTAATTTCCGCTCTTTATTGTTCTCTTTATCTTTCTTTTTTTAATGGACTTACTTTGTTAAACTAGGTTTTTGAGTTTTAACACGGAGAAAAACATCCTACAAACATAATGAGTAGAAAAAGCAAGTTCCAAAAGGATGTGGAACGCGGATAAATATGTAACACCAGATTTTGTCAGGGAAAACCTGCAGAGGAAGTGGAGAAGGTACACATCCATCAGAGCAGGCAGCAGCTTGCCCGTTAGGGTAGAGGGGCAATCTGTATCTGTTAGATTTTATTTCTGTGAAAAACAGAAAGCCATATAAACCAAACATGCAAACCATATTTTAAAAAATGTTGCTGTGGTGGCTCACAACTGTAATCCCAGCATTCGGGAGGCTGAGACAGGAGGATTGCTGTGAGTTTAAGGCCAGCCTGGGCTACATAGTGAGTTCAAGGCCATCGTGGACGACATAGTGAGACTCTGTCTCAAAAAAAAAAGTTAAATTTAGTTGGTAAGTGCATACATACTTGTTTTACTATTTTCTGTGTAAAAATAAATACCTATATGTGTATGACACATTTCATGATTTAAAAATTACATTGTCATAAAAAGAATATTCTCTTACTCTTCCAAATATTAAGTTGATGGTGTATTTCCCTGCTAAGAATGTTTCACGGAGGAAATGAAAATACTTACAGAAGGGAGAAAATGTTTTTTGTTCTATAGGTTCCTCTTCCTCAGCCATATCCACTATTATGTGTTGCCTTCTTATTTCCTTTGGGTCATGGATCTCTTGCTGATGCACACGGGACCAAGCTGGTGCAGGTTCCTGGACTGTCCTGTGCGGTTTTCTCGTGTCATCGTGGTGAAAATACACAAAAAACAGAGCTGTCCAGATGCCAAATGTCAAAGACCCATAGAATAAATATGGAATTATGTTATTTCTCATGGTAAACTTAACTTCTTCAAAGGTTCGTTCTTCAATTTCCTAAATCAGAATGATTTAAAAGAAGCAGTATTAGATATTTCCATGATTTGTAGATCATCTGTTTGGCTTAAACTTAATTCTAAGTGTCTTAAAAACAGATCATTTTGGTATCAGTCCTTATATACATAAAGTGTTATCTTTTTACTATTAGCAAAAGCTCTCAAAACATATTTATAATACCTTATAAACAATGTTTTACCATCCAGATAAAACAATACAAAACATATAGTGTCATTTAGAGGCCCTGGTCCCCATTCCTGAGTGCATAGCTTGAGGAAATAAGATGAAAAAGTCATAACTCTTCCCTTATATATGCCCAATCCGTCTTGGGGTGTTAGCATAGGTCTTCAAAATCTGATTTGAACATATAGTCCTCTTTCTCCTTTTCCCCTGAGACTCCAGAAGATCATTTGGTTTCTATGCTTCTGACCTTGAGCTTGTCCAGGGGACAAGCTTGTACACACACCTGAACTTCAGGGGGATCCAGGCTGCTGCCCAGCACCTAGGACCCAGGACTGCTCCATGGCATCAACCACCTACACAAGGACCTTGACCCCACAGACTGGAGCACTCCTGGGCCACCATGCCACACTGCCCTGCCTCCGCACTGCCCCTAAATGCCCTCCTGGTCACCAGATCATCAATTTGGGTCACTTCCTGGCAGACAAGGTTCGTATCCTATGCATCGACAGACTCAACCTTTGCCAACCATGCAGGGCCCCCATCCTGAGGTTGCTCAGGCTGAGGGAGGGTCGTCTAAATTTGGATTAGGGAGGCTTTGTCAACACGGAAGCATTCTCCCAGGACACATGATCTGACCCATGCCAAAGATCTGGGTGCTCCGTGACGGCTCATTGACTGAAGGAAAAACACTTTACAAATGAAATATTTGATTATTCACATAAAAAATATCAAATGTATAAGAGAGGAAAATAATTTCTAATGTGGGAAAATGACAGATTCAAACAACCGAGGGCTGGGAGTGTAGCTCAGTGGGCTTTTGTAGCTGGAGTCAAGCTCTGGCTTTCATCCCTAGCACCTCAAACTCTAAACAAATAAACGAACAAATAAATAAGTCAATGATGCTGTTTTATTCATATTATCATCATATCTTCTTATTAAATTGTCTACATTTTGAGACTTCTGTGTTAACTTTCTGTAAAACCCAAAAACAAGTAGAAACTAGTTAAAGGAAAAAGTAGGTAAGGGGAGCCAATATACACTTGCATTTATACGCTAGGATTATTACATAAAAATAAATCCATATTCTTTTGAAGGATTTTAATATATTAAGAAAACTTGGGGGAAATTCTCTTTAGAGGCAAACACACAAAAACCCCTCTGTTTTTCTTGCTTTACTTAGTTCTTATTGTACATTGCCTTAAAGCTGAGCTTGCCCTAGCTCTCCAGAATACACGCCTCACCTCCTAACCTGGCCCCCACACACCCAAAACCAACGAAAATCCCTCATACCCAGAGAGAGGTAATAGGACTGAGTGGCTTTTTGACTCTGTGTCCTCAGAAGAAAACCATGGTCAGTTATTTTCTTCACTACAACATGCTGGGCTCACAGGCCATAAGAACACAGGATAGGAAAAGCACGTTTCGATGGAGATTTGTGAGCACAGCAAATAAACATCTGAGTGCATCAAAGACATTTAAGAGTTAACTAGAGAAATCTTGTAAGGAGATAAACACACACACACACACGCACAGGCGCACACACACACACGCGCGCGCGCGCACACATGTCCCCAAACCATCAATCTGGATTTACTGCCGTTGAGTTTGTTTTAAAATGTGAAACTTTAAAGTCAAGACAGTATGACCTTGCTTTAGAGAATGCCATGAGTAATTAATTTTTCTGTAAATAATCACTATTTTAAAAAAGCGTTATTAGTCTATGTTTGCAGTACATGATGTTTGTATTCCTTGTGTGGAGTTGGTACTTATACATAACAAATCTTAATTCCTTTATTAATCCTCTTTCCTCCTGTCCCTCCCCATCTCTCCATCTCTTGATCCCCTTCCCATTTAACAAAGATCTAACTCTTTAATTTGCTCTTTATTTATACTTTGGGTTTCTTGTATAAGAGAAACCAAACAATATTTAAGGTTGTGTGTCTGGTTTATTTCACTTAACATTATGGCCTCAAGGTCCATCTGATAGAGCACTGCTATACATTAAGACAGGCCCTTGCATTGCTTCCATGTTTTTTCCACAAAATGCTTTGTTCCAGAAATGTAACAGTTTGTGCTGCTGGGCAGTGCTCCTGCCCAGTGTATCAAAATGTTTTGTGACTGTTTCAACCATGTGACCTTTCAGGAATGTTCTGTTAAACTCTGCACCCTTACAAGAACGGTCTATTGTACAAAAAGGGATAGGGCATAGATTTACATTGCAAAAGGTGTCCACAGTGTATTAGTGACATTCTTTCATTGACAGTTGACATAAATTCATTTAGAGTAAAATATTTTAAGCAAAAAAATTCTCGTTTTTTAAAAAAGGGGTTTAAGTATTGTTGCCATTCTTATGGTTTCTTTAAATACCCCTGGCTATTCCTAGGGGGGCTTTCTCCCCCTCTCTTTTTTCCCCCTTTTTCTTTTTTATTTAGTTTTTTTTTATCATTTGAGTCTTCATGCCCATTTAAATTATGCTTCCAACCTTGTGTGGTTTGTAAGCTTGTCCACAAATAAGACCACTGTTGAAGTACCACAAAAGTATAAATGAATATTGTAATGCCACAATCTCTCCTGTTGCCTGTGGAATTGCTGCTGAAAAGAATTAGGATTCAAGCTCTAGGATGAGACAGAAAAATGAAAGCACGTTTTCCAGGACACTAGGTTTATACGGATGTGTAACAAGTTGATTCGGAACACTGGAATTTGATTCTATCCTGTTTGGGGTTTCTCCCCCCTCCCCAACAGTCCCCTGCCTCCTGCCCTCGCCCCTTATAAAGGCAGTTAACTCGTCCCGGGAAGGATCCTTCAGCTACATGAAATTTTTGTTTTCTGAAATGTCATGGCTCCATTCATATTTTTGTCTTATTCTTTCAATTGGGATATGTAATGTTCACAGCTCTTGTATTTGGAAGCTGGAAGGGCCTGGACTTTGAAATAGTGTCTTGGTTTCACTGTTTTTGTTTTTTTGTTTTTTGCTTTTTTAAACTAAAGCTATATGAAGCTTGGGATTAAACAGTAAATTTTTAAATTAAAAAAAAATGTTCTGCTAAGCCCTGGGGATGTCCCTTTTAAGAATGTTCTGTTAGGCTCTGCCCCCTTATAAGAATGTTCTGTTAAGCCCTGCCCCTCTGTTTCAGGAATGTTCTGTAACTCCACCCCCTGCTTCAGTGAGCATGGTCGCCTACCCTGTAGATCCCTACATAAGGAGGCTCTCATTTCTTGTAGGGCACTCAGACTTCGAGTATGAACTCCTCTGAGCCAGGGTAATAAAGGTTTTTCTCCACCTCTCTGAGTGACTATCGGATTGAATCTTCAAATTGTAACACTGTAACAATTGGCTGTGCCATAATACATCCATTACTAATCAGTATTTTTTTAAAATTTGGTCTTTTTGAGACAGGGTCTCACTAATGTAGTCCAGGCTGGCCTTGAACTCACTATGTAACCTAGGCTGGCCTGGAACTCCCAGCAATCCTCCTGCCTCAGCCTCTCAAATTCTGGGATTATAGGCCTGCACCACCACACCCAGGAATAATCAGTATTTTTTTTAACCCCGCACCGTCTTGGGACAATTGTGATACTCTTTCCATACAGGATCTACCACCTTCTATAACCCTAAAAGCTTTTTTTCCCTATTGACTTTTTTTGAATAAGAAACACATCCACTTGATATAAACTTGTGTTAAGAGCACCAAGGACTATATAATGAAAATTGGCCTGTTTTTCAAGAATAAAAGCCATTAAAGGGCCCAGTCAGTCCCAAAAGGGAGTTGGGGGCCACTCCCTCTTGAGAAATCAAGAACCTCTTAATCCTAATTCCCAGTCAAGATCCCATTCAAAATTCAGCCGTGTGTCACGCAGCTCCCACTGATTCTAGGTGAAAGGGCCCCCAGCATCTTTGTCCCTACTTCCTATCACACTGGGCCTGTCCACCTACCACTGAGGTCACTGCGTCCTATTATTTGCCAGGCAGAGTCATCGACAGAGGTGGGGGTCTGTGTGGATGAACTGAAGATGCAGTGTTTATCTGGATGGCAGATTTTAGGGTGCTGGACTGTGCCGGGTCGCTCTCCCCACAGGTGCCTCACAGAGCCCAGTGACATCACACAGGGCATCCCCAGACTTCAGGCCCCTCTCTTGTAAGCCTGAGCCAGAAGGCAGACTCCAGGAGTCCCAGAGTTCTAAGGGGCCTTCCGGAACACCCTCAAATCCTTACTCCTCAGCTGAGGAAGTAGACAAAGCCTTGTGGCCATAGGGTCAGAATGCAGGGTAACCCCCTTTACAGCCCTGCTCTAATGTTTAGCTGCTGTGAAATAAATTTGAGGAAAAGAAGCTTTCTGAACCCATGAGAAACATAAAGATGAGCCAAAGACTATCTGACTTAGTTTATATTCCCTGTTACTCAAGATTTAGACGTTAGCACGTGAGTTCAGCCAAAGGCTTCTGAAATTTCTCCCTTCACAGCTCTGAACTGATTTGACCTTCTCTCTGAGGAATTGACTCAGTGGTTTGCTGGGAACCAGTCATTTGTTTCCGGTCTGGGGGAGGAAAGGGCTGGGTTGGGGCCTTCCCTGGGGAAGACAGGATGGGCAATAATGACTTCTAAGCATGACTTGAACATTCTTTCCACAGCCCGGATGGGAAGGTGTTTCTTTGGCCTTTAGTGTTAATATTAATACTAAAAAGTAGGGCTGGGCGATTTAGCTCAGTGGTGCTGCCGCCTGCCTTGCAAATGCAAGGTCCCTAGTTCGATCCCCGATACCAAAAAAAAAAAAGTAAATTTGGGGCTTAGAGTGTCACTCAGTGGAAGAGAGCTT